GCTCGTATCTGTGTGAGGAAATGCTACATGGTTTGTTCCATTTATCTTTTCCCGAGTATCCCGCTTTCTCTTGTCGATCTTAAACACCTACTGGACTCCTTACCGGAACCTGTGCTCCTGCTAGGTGATTTCAATTGTCGTCATACCCTTTGGGGTGATGTTCTGACAAACACCCGGGGTTTTCTTCTTGAACCGTTCATCCTCTCTTCTTCCCTGCCTCTTCTGAATTCTGGTGAGCCCACTCATTTGGATTCTCGGACTCGCACCCTTTCCTGTCTTGATCTTTCTCTCTGCTCGTCGTCTCTTTACTTGGATTTTATGTGGAGAGTTCTTGATGACCTCCATGGCAGTGACCATTTCCCCATCCTTGTTACTTTTTTCTCTTTTCACCCTCCCCTTCCCTAGGTGGCAGTTTGGTATGGCGGACTGGAACCTATTTACCCTCAGTGCTGCTCTCTCTGAGGATAAATAGGGTAAATTAAATTATTAATTAAGAGGGTAAATTACCCTCTCCCCTTCTGCCTCTCTCTCGCAGTCTCCTCCTCTTTCATGACACCATCTTCGACGCTGCCCTCTGCTCTATTCGTCGCTCTTCCTCTCGGGGGCCATGGAAGTGTGTTCCCTGGTGGAATGCAGACTGTGCTCAGGCTGTCCACAGTAAGCGTGCAGCCTGGAAGAGACTCCACCGCCAGCAGATGGCTGATTCTTTTCTTTTGTTTCGAAAGGCGAGTGCAGTGACTCGTAGGGCCATCCGTACGGCTAAATGTCAATGTTGGATGTCATGTCTCCACCATTACGTCCGAAACTCCTCTGCCGCAAATCTGGAAGTGTATCCGCAAGATAGCGGGTAAGTTTGTTCCCAATGTCTTGCCGGTCCTTCACCTCCGTGGTACTCTTGTGGCGGACCTGTTGCAGGTCACTACCGAACTGGGTTCCCACTTTTCTTCTGTTAGCTCTGGCTCTCATCTTCCTCAATCTTTCCTTCTTCGTAAACCTGTCCTTGAGTCTCGTCCTTTAGATTTCTGCACTCATCTCCAACTTCCCTATAACAATCTCCTCTCTCTCTCTCTGAACTTTGGTCTGCCCTGGCCTTCTGTGGTTCTACGGTGGCGGGCTCCGATGGCATTCATTATGGCATTCATTCGCCATCTCCCTCCATGCACGTTTTGGTATTTACCGAGTCTGTATAATTGGATCTGGGAGTCGTCGTCAGTCCCTTAGGACTGGCTCGATGCCGTTGTCCTCCCTATTCGCAAACTGGGGTCTTTGGGGACTTCCCCTAAAGACTTTCGCACTATTGCCCTCACAAGTTATATCTGCAAACTCCTTGAACGTATGGTTAACGTTCGACTGATGTGGTTCTTAGAACACTATCACCACCTCTCCCCTTCTCAATTTGGTTTCCGCAAGTGCCGCAGCACAGCGGATGTCCGGGTGAACTTGGAGGTCTATATTCGTACTGCTTTTGCTGAGAAGACCTCCATTGTTGCGGTCCTTTTTGACCTGGAAAAGGCTTACAACACCACTTGGCGACAACATATTCTGTCCCAACTTCATTCTTTTCGCCTTCATGGTAATCTCCCTCTTTCTCCAAAGTTTCCTCTCTCGTCTTTCCTTTCGGGTGAGGCTTGGTCCCGCTCTCTCTGCCTCTTTTCAGCAATACGAAGGTGTGCCCCAGGGTAGTGTTCTGAGCACTACTCTTTCTGGTTGCCCTCAATGGTCTTCCTTCCTCTCTTCCTTCTGGCATCTTCTCCACTCTCTATGTCGACGATCTTACCCTTTGCTGTCAGGGTGATGATTCGCCTCTCCTTCAACGCTGGCTTCAACTTGCGATTGATGCCGTGTCGTCTTGGGCCACCGATCATGGCTTCAGGTTCTCTACGTCTAAGACTTGTGCTATGACTTTTACTCGGGAGCGTGTCGTTCTTCGTCCTTCTTTGTCACTTTATGGTCACCCCCATTGTGTACAAGGATTCCGCTAAGCTTTTGGGGTTGATTTTTGACACTCGTTTGTTTTGGTCGCCCAATATCTCTTACCTCCGAGTTGAATGCTCTAAGGCCCTTACCCTCCTTCAGGTGTTGTCCCATATTTCTTGGGGAGCAGATAAGCGCGCACTCCTCGCTTTACATTCCTCTCTCGTCCTGTCTAAACTCGATTATGGTTGCCCTGCTTACTCGTGTGCTTCTCCTTCTACTCTTTGCTGTCTTGATGCTTTGCACCATACTGGGTTGCACCTCAGTTCTGGTGCCTTTCGTTCGACTCCCGTCCTCAGCTTGTATGTTGACACTGGCTTCCTATCTTTTTAGGACCGCTGTGATCGCTACTGTCTTCGCTATCTTGCGTGGTCCTTACAACATCCTTCCTCTCGCCTCTGTCGTGCTTTAACTTTTACCCCTCCTGTGGTTCCTGTTCTTCTTCACCACCTCCCTCTTTCTGTCCGGTTATCTCGCTTACAGGACTCTTTCGGTTCATATTTCTAATATTTCTCCTCGTGTTGTTCCTTCTTTGCCCCCTCCACCCCCCCCTGTGGAGAGTCCCCCTTCTGCAGTTTTGTACTTCCTTAACCTGCATCACTAAAGCTTTTACCCCTCCTATGGTTCTGAAATGCCTTTTCCTTGTGCACTTTTCTTCACACTTCCGCTCCTTTTCCATCTTCGCCGATGGGTCTAAGTCTGCGGACAGTGTAGGCCACTCTGTTATTTTTCCTGACAGCACTTATATGTGTCGCTTACATCCAGAGACTAGTATCTCCACAGCAAAACTTTAAGCTATTCTCTCTGCTCTTCGTCTCCTGCTTTCTCGTTGTCAATCTTCCTTTGTAGTTGTCGTTGACTCTCGGAGTGCCCTCGTGGCTCTCGGGTCCTTTAATCCAGTTCGTCCAGTGGTTGTCGAGATACAGCATTGGCTGTTTCTTATTCACAGTAAATATTAGTCGGGTGAGTTTTGCTGGGTTCCCAGCCATGTTGGTGTGTCTTTAAATGAGCATGTGGTGCTGCCGCTAGGGAAGCTGTCCGCTCCGGTTCCATCTCTCATAAAAGTATTCCTTATTCTGACTTTTACCCAGTTATTCATTCCTCCATCCTTACCTGTTGGCAGGCTTGCTGGTCTTCTGTTACTGATAAACTGCGTACTCTTAAAGAGTTGTGTGTCCTCATGGCCGTCTCCCTACCACCGTAACCGGCGATGGGAAACAGCTATGGCGAGATTGTGTATTGGCCATACTCGCTTAACTCAAGGTCACTTAATGGAGCACCGCCTTGCTCCTTATTGTCCAAATTGCATTGTTCCTCTTATATTCGTGCATATCGTTGTTGAATGTCCTGACTTCCAGGACAAGCGTGTCTTATTTTCCGACCGTCCTCTGCGGTTGCTTGTACTTGATAGAATTCTTGGTGAATCGGATACTTTTGATATCTTTCGCCTGATGCGTTTCTGTTCTCGTATTGGCATCCTTGCTGATATTTAGCGCCCTCTGATTATTCCGCACATTTGATGGTGCTACATAGCCTTCCCGGTTTGGTGCCTTCTTTTGATAATTACTTACTGACACCACTAGGTGGATGGTGAGAGTTGTGTTGTGGATGGTGTGAGTGTTGTGGGGGATCTATCTTGAGGTTATCTTGAGATGATTTCAGGGCTTTAGTGTCCACAGCCCGGTCCTCGACCAGGCCTCCACCCCCAGGAAACAGCCCGTAGCAGCTGTCTAACTCCCAGGTTCCTATTTACTGCTAGGTAACAGGGGCATCAGGGTGAAAGAAACATTTTGCCCATTTGTCTCCGCCGGTCGGCCGAGCCGGTCGGCCGAGCGGACAGCACGCTGGACTTGTGATCCTGTGGTCCTGGGTTTGATCCCAGGTGCCGGCTGTCACGGGCTGCTTCCTGGGGGTGGAGGCCTGGTCGAGGACCAGGCCGTGGGGACACTAAAAAGCCCCGAAATCATCTCAAGATAACCGAAGATAACCGCTTCCACCGGGGATCGAATCCGGAACCTCAGGACTTCGAATCCGAAGCGCTGTCCACCCAGCTGTCAGGTGGTGTGAGTGGTGTGGGGGATGGTGTGAGTGCTTCCCTTGACAACTTCTACCACTGACAACCTGCCTTCCATGAGAATATGTAACTTACACCACCTGCCCCCTAACAATAAACCCTAACTACTAACAGCACTTGCCCACTGACACCATTTTATCACCATTTTTATCACCATTTCTCCCTAGAAACAATGGGTAAGGATAATAAAACACTGTATAACTGTTTACACTTTGGCGAATCACAATTGATGACAGCCAGCTCCGACGCTCGGCCTCGGTGACCGCTTGGACGAACATTCCTCGCTTAATCGAACATTTGTATGTTCCACTGAACATTTGATACCAAATTCAATTTGTTCGGCTCTTCTGGGAATTCGATAGAGCGAGGTTCGTTAGACTGAGGAAGCACTGTATGTACCAGGACTAAATGGGTACTTAACCTGTCCACCCAGCAAGGCAAGCCATGTCTCCAATTATGTTGCCATGTCCTACTCAAATGAATACTTGAACCAACACACATACACATATAATATTATATTTATATTTCTTATTAAATGAAATACTCCAAGAATCCAGGAATACATGGATTCATAACAAAGGCCAGATCCCAAATTTGTACAGCTAAGTAAGAGCCAATGGGGAGTAGAAATGCCATAGTCACAGAGAGCACTATACGAACATCTGAGATCCATGACTGCTCAATACTCTCCCACTAAGCATAAGAAATATTGTCGGAACAAAGGTGGACTTGTTTAAAAATCAATTAGACAAGTGCTTGCAAGATCAGCCAGGTTTAAACATTGAATATGTGGGGCTGCTCATGGCAGCAGCCTATTGGACCAAGTTATCCAAGGCAAGCCTGGCCTCCGACTGGGCTTGGGGAGTAGAACAACTCCTGGAACCCTCTCCAGGTAAACTACAGGTACAACTCTGATTTTAATCATAACTTACTGTGTTTATTCTGTCAACAGTATCAGGGTGTGGGATGCTAGAGCAAGCCCAAGCAAGGCATGCATGGTGACAGTCCCCAATGCTCATGACTCTGATGTTAATGTGATCCACTGGAACCGCAATGAACCTTTTATAGTATCAGGTGGTGACGATTCTAAAGTTCAAGTCTGGGATCTGCGACAGTTACAAGTAAGTGTGTCAATGATCTGGGAGTTGTATAGTGATAAGATGGTGATCTCCATATTAGATTTTAGCCTAATTACTTACTTTAATTTTGACAAGTTTTCACAAGTTTTTCATGTGATATGAACACTTTTGTGTATTAGCTTGAAACTTTAATTTATGCATGGGAGTATACAGATGGTCTTTGAGCTGAACGTCATCATAAATCTCTGGTCATTTCCTTAGGCAGTATCAAGCCCTTCCCATAATACTGATGAAGCTCGCTAATCCGGACTATATGGGAAGGGCCCCCTCCCGGATAGGCCGGTCATCCGGATTAACAGACATTTTACCAGGAAGTCCAAAAATGAACATATTCAATTTTTCTTGTAACCAACCAACGTAATTTGAATTTCCTCACACTATAATTAGTGTAATCACCTAAGTGTAGTTACATGATGAGAGCTACGCTTGTGATGTCCTGTCTTCCCAGCACTCTGTCGTGTAACGCTTTGAAAATACTGACAGTTTTGGCCTCTGCCACCAACTCATTCACCTGTGTAATTACCTAAATGTAGTTACAGGATGAGAGCTACGCTCGTTGTGTCCCGTCTTCCCAGTGCTCTGTCATATAACGCTTTGAAAGTACTGACAGTTTTGGCCTCCACCACCTTCTCACCTAACTTGTTCCAACTGTCTACCACTCTGTTTGCGAAAGTAAATTTTCTTATATTTATTCGGCTGCTTTGTTTAGATTAACCCTTAAACTGCTCAGCATAAGGGAGCATAATTTGAAAAATATTTAAATTATGTGAAAATTACTTAAAAATGTTAAACAAATCTCTAACTTATTGGCTTCAACATCGTGAAACTTTTGTCAAAATATTTTCAGAAATTGATTTTGGACGAATATTTAAAAAAAAAAAAAAAAATTTGTTGATAAAGAAAGCAGCTCCTATTAACTGGAACTGATGGACAATGCAATAATAAAGTGATGCAAGCACCTGTCCGACACAAAGAAGAAGAATAGTAGTAAGAAGTGTCCACAAAGTGGACATGCAGCTGGTTCCTTTATAGCATTGGTGAGTAATACAGAATAACACAAATAATAATGAGTAAGTATGCTATTATGCGCTACATGTATTTTGTTATATATCATTTAAATACATTGCCCAATGTTGTTAGCAGTTACTTGCAACAATGTCCAAAAAAGTTTTTTCTGGTGGGAGCCCCTTCTGCTCCCTGGAGCTTACTAGGCTGATATGCTGATGTCAGACTTTGGCATCAGTCATGTGTATGGAGTTCTTATGGGCCTACCGGGGACCACGAGCCAGAACCTGGCCCCCTCAGAGAGGCATGGGCAGCCTATAAAAACCCCTGTGTGGTTGGAAGCATTCTATGTCTGCCATTGACAGGGTCAAGCACCCAAAAAGGTTAGCATCCCAAAACAAACCCCTATTCTGGTGAAAATATTGCTACCAAAAGTGGTAGAACTCCCCTAAAAGAAACGAGCAAACAAGGATGATGTCATACGTCGCTGCGCCACTGTCTGCGCAGCTCCCACCTCCTCAGGAGGGGGAAGGGTGAAAGAAACTCTGCCCATTGTTTCTCGCCGGCACCTGGGATCGAACCCAGGACCACAGGATCACAAGTCCAGCGTGCTGTCCGCTCGGCCAACCGGCTCCCTAGGTTGCTCACCCAGATGCCCTGGAGCTGCCCCATTTTGCTTATAGGGACTCAGACTTGGGGGTCGCTTCGACCCTGGTTCTGTTGGCTGGTCCTCGTCCTTCCCCTCGTGTGGTTCGTTCTGGTCCCCCTTTCCCCTGCTTCCGACCTGAAGCGTCTGAGGGTTTCGGAGCCGGAGCAGGGTTTAGATGGTCTTGAGACTCGGGCAGTCTCGGGGGATGTCCCTTCCCGTATGGCAACGGAGGCATTTCAAGTCTTGTCTCCCAGCTGAAGCCACCGGGTCTGACCAGTGGTCCCCCTTCCGTGGCTGTGCCGGCTTTGTCTTTTGAGTCCGGTGCTTTGGGAAATGACTCGGCCCCGGATCCTGCGGAGGTGGATCCCAGGGCGGGGGAAAAGGCTGACTTGGGGGCCTTGGGCCCCGCTGGACCCTGCCTGGGTTTTTCTACCCTCTGAGCGGGACTTGTTGTTACAAGGAGTGGGGTTCTCTTTGCCCCCTCTGCGTACGAATTGTATTTGGTGTCTGCCCCTCCCCGGGTTTGGTTCCGTGTCCCCCGGGTGCGTCTGTTTCATCTTTCTGGGGGTTTTCAGCTTCTCGCATCCAACTTTCTGCGGTGCTGGCAGCCCTTGTGGCTTACCTCCTGTGTGACCCGAATTATGCCTCAATGATGGATCCGTTTTCCTTCCGGTTTGGGACTTCGTTCTCTTTCTAGGTCTGTTACAAGGTTCCAGAGTCATCCTGGCATGCGGACTGTCCTGTCTTTGCTTTGGATGCATGGCATTCGTTCTGTCGCACCCGCACGCTTAAGTGGCGCGAGGCTTCGACAGTGGTTCAGATTTTCCCTTTGTTTGCCCCTACCCTTTCCTGGAATGTGGGCGTGGTGCAGCTCCATGTGCAGGTTCCCTCTTCCTTGGCTGTGCAAGTTGCTGAAAACATGCGCGCTCGGGGCCTTTTGGCTTCGGCCTTTTGTTTCTTTTTCTTCATGGAGCTGTCTTCGGACTGGCTTACAGAGGATGTGGGGATGCTCGGGACCGTTCCTGGGTCCGGTGCCTTGGGCTCGGCGGCCCGCTCGTCGTCTGCCTTGCTGAAGCTGTTTGCGCCAATCTTACAGGATGCGGTTTCCCTGTTCTATGCTTCCCGGCTCGCTTGGGTGCAGGCGGTGCTTGCCTCCTCCTTGGAATCGGTCTGGGCCCTGACTCTTAGGATGTTTTCGCCTTTTTGTCCTCTACTTTTTGAGGATTCTGACATGGCGTAGTATGTTCAGGCTACTTGTCGGCCTATGTCTGACTTGTTGGTTCTCTGTAGGTCCAGGGGGGGGGGGGTCTTCCCAGAGGGATCATGCCAGGGCTCGGGTTCCTCTCGTCGTGGTAGGCCGCAGGTGGCAGGTTTGGGTTCGGACCCGCCTTCATCTGGTCGGTGCGGTGTTCACCCTGTGCGGGGTTCTGGGTCGTGTAAGGGGGCGCCGGCCCTTTTGCGGTTAGCCCCATTGATGGGGCGATGGGGGGAAGCTTGCGCTGTTCGCTCACGCCTGGTCCCACGATTCGTGGGTGTTTCGAGTCCTTTCCTTCGGCCTGCGGTGGCGTTGGGTGGCCTCTTCCCCTTCAGGGGGTTCGGGGCTGACAGGGCAAGCCTCTTCTGTGCTCCATCGAGTCATCTTGGAGTGGGTTCTCTTGGGCATCGTCAAAACGATGTCGTCCCTCAGGTGGGTGTCCCGTGTGTTTCCAGTGCCGAAACGGGACTGTGCGGACCTGAGTTTCATTCTGGACTTGTCCCGTCTGAACCCTTGGATTCATTGCCCTTCCTTTCGGATGACTACACTGTCATCCGAAAGGATGACAGCTCCTGTTGGGCTCCTGTTCGGCTCCTGTTGGTGTCCCTGAATTTCCAGGATGCTTATTGTCACGTCCTGATTCATCCGGGGTTCAGGGACTGGCTCGGTTTTGTGGTGTGATGTCAAGGTTACCGCTTTCGTTGTCTCGTTCGGGTTGAATCTGGCACCTTATGTTGGTTGTCGTGTCCCTTCTGCGTCTGTTGGGTGTTCGGGTATTGGCCTACCTCGACGCCTAGCTGGTTTGGGCTCCCAGCCAGTCCATTTGTCTGCTAGCCAGGGATTGGGTTCTTTCCCAGCTCGCCGGGTTCGGATTCTTGGTGAACTGGAGGAAGTCCCATCTGTTTCCTTCTCAGGTTCAGTCGTGGCTGGGTCTTGTGTGGGACTCTCGGACCGCTTCCTTCTCTCTTCCTCCAGAGTCTCTCCTGTGGCTGCAGTCTCACTTGCGCCTGTTTCTGGGGGGCTCCCGGGTCACCCAACGATTGTTCGAGGGTTTGGGCAGGAACCTGAACTTCGCGATGATTGTCTATCCGCTGGGTTGGGTTTGGCTTCATCGGCTGTTCTGGTTCTTTCGGGGACGTCCCTACCGACTCTCTCGCGATCGCTGGGTTTGACCCCCGGGTGCCTTGTATTTGCTGCTGCATCGCCGGCTTCCTCTTCGGGTTTTGCGGGGTCCAGTGCCTTGGCGCCTGACCGAGCTCTCGCTTGACGTGTTCATGGACGCGTCGTCTCTTGGCTGGGGCTTTGTGACCAGTGTCCACCAGGCCGGCCAGGGACTGTGGGGTCCATCCTTCCGTCGAGCCCACAGCACGGTTCGGGAGTTCGCGGCGGTGTGGTTTGCGCTTCAGAGGGTTCAGGTCGCCAGCGGATCGACGATCCGGCCCCATTTGGACTGCTCCCTGGTGGTTCATTGGCTGAACCGAGGGGTTTGATGTGGTCCTTGTTTCTTTGGCGCTGGTCACTTCGGGTGACTCGTCTGCCGAGTTTTGGGGGTTTGGCTCTCCTGGCTGTTCACGTGCGGGGAGTGTCCAACGTCTTGGCCGACGCCCTGTCTTGTTTCGTTCCCCTCGCCACGGAATGGACGGTCGACGCCGACTCCTTCCTATGGCTCTGCCAGACGTTCGGATGCCCCAAGATGGACCTCTTCGCGTCGGCGTGGTCGTGGCACCTTTTCCTGTATGTGGCGCCCTTCCCCGATTGCGACACCGTCGGGGTTGATGCTTTTCGGCAGTACTGGTCGAGGTGGGGGTACCTGTACCTCTTTTCCCCAGATTCAGCTGTTGCTCCAGGTCCTGACTTACCAGGGGAGAGTAGTCCTCTTGACTTTGTGGTGGCCGACCCAGCCGTGGTTTCAGCCGCAGCTTGCCTGGTGTCCGAACCCGAAGGTTAACCCCGCAGTTCCGCCTCTTCCAACAAATCGGCCTGATGCGTCACGTGGCTGGTTTGATCTTCTCCTCGAATCTCCGCATGTGGTCATTTTGACTCCCACCTGTAGGCTTCGTCTCGGCAACAGTA